CCATTGGCTCTGTTTGGGTGATCAAAATATCACTATTTAGGCAAAAGATTTGGCTCCTGCCTCCCTGACAGAATTTTGACAAGTTTTCTTTGTTCTTCCTTTTTGGCAACAAAATACACCAGGCCTGTTTTGTACAACCTTGGTCCCCAGAATGCAACTGGCCAATTTTCCAAGTCCCGGTTCCCTTCAGGGGATGCTATTAGGGTCCCAACCTCTACAAGGTGCTTGATGGCCATGTTCCACATTTATTGGTCAGTAAGTTGATCTAGCATCCATCGTATGAAAGCTGTGTGCCTGTGTGCATGCACTCCAGCAGACACATGGGGACATTTGTACCCTAGAGCATAGAATAACACAAGAAATAGAATCCTAAGGGCAGAGAATACTGACAACGTCCAAGCTTTCAGGTTGTGTCAGTAAGGTTATGTTAGCTTATAAGGCTGTAACTCTGACCTTGTTTTTCTGCACATATTTCTATTACCATTCTTTTTCTTTTTCGGGTACCGATGATTAACTCAGGACCTTGCACTTTCAAGGCAGGTGTGGCACCACTGAGTGAAATCTCCGGCCCTCTAATAGCATCATAAGGACAGCTAGCACAGTGGTTTTCTAATCAATGGTTTTGGCAGAAATCCAACCAACCAAGATACAATTGTATCCACTCATCCTTGTGGTGCTATATTGGAAACATTGGCTCTTAGGGTTTAAACTGGAAACCTCTGTTTCAGAGGACTCAGTCTGATGGTATTGCAGACAGGAATGTGCACCAGCAAAGGAAAGGCAGATCCTCCCCCTGCAGAGCCCTGGCACTTCAGGGCTCAGGGAAACAAGCTTGTGAGGATGAGAAGCCAGCAAGTGTTTACTTACAGTACAGGCTGAATAGGAATCTGGAAAAGCATCACACATGCTTGTAATCCCAATGCTCTGGGAGGCTGAGGCAGGAGGATAGAAGTTCAAGTCCAGCATGGGAGATTTAGTAACTTAGCAAGAGACTCTGTCTCAAATAAATAAATAAATGGCTCAGGGTGTAGCTCAGTGCAGAGGCCCTGGGTTCAACCAACCCTCAGTACAAAAAGAAAGGATGGAAGCAAAGAAGGGAGGGAGGGAAAAAGCCAGCTCTGGACAGTGCGCCCTCTCCAGGCCATGGCCCCAGTCCTCCTGGGTGCAGCAGGGGAGCTCTGGCAGTGCCCTGGGCATCTCCGCCCCACTTGGGACCACGTGGACCCAAAACATTCTTCAGATTCCACCGCAAACAGCTCTGGGAGGTTTGCAGAAAATTCACTTGTGACACCCTTTGGTGCAACCTTAGGTTACACCCTGTTTCCTGAAGTCCTCACCCTTCTCTTGGTGCAGAAACACAACCCAGTAGGTAGAAAAGAGACTTACCTTGATCTCACCACTCAGGAGGCTAAGGCAGGAGGTTGGCAAGTTCAAGGCCGGCCTGGGCGACTTAGTGACTTACTGAGACTCTGTCTCAAAATCTAAAAAGATGAAAGAATGGGGTTGTAGCTCAGTGGGAAGCCCTGGGTTCAACCCCCCGCGTTGAGGTGTGTGTGTGTCTGTGTGTGTGTGTGCATGCGCTGCACTTGGAATTCTATGTTCTAGAGAACCTGCATAATTCCCATAGTCAGGTATTAAAAAAAAAAAAAAACCTTAAATACAAAGGTCAAATGCATCCTATCAGGCCATTCATTTTGATTACTATTTTAACCCGAAGCTATTTACTATAGGGGGCCTCAAATTTTTAAAGAATCATTTTAACTAAGAAAGGTAGTAGTTTACTATCTTCCTTCTTAGCACTCAAATCTGAGCCCTGGGATGGCCATGTGGCTCAGTGGGACAGCACTTTACTGCATGTGTAAAGCCCTGGGTTCCATCACCAGCACCTGCAACAGCTGGAATTCAGCACACACACACACACACACACACACACACACACACACACACACACACACACACACACACACACACACACACACACACACACACACACACACACACACACACACACACACACACACACACACACACACACACACACACACACACCATACACTCACCCTCCTAAGTTTCAGTCTTTGAAAAGCTAAACCTGTTATCCTCATCTGTTTTGTGGTTTATAACTGGTTCTTGTCAACTCCAAAGATACATTTATTCTTGAGTCTAAATCTACCCTGTAAAAATAAACTGGCCAGGTGTGGTGGCACACACACGTAATCCCCACACTCAGGAGGCTGAGGCAGGAGGACTGCCATGAGTTTGAGGCCAGCATGAACTGCATAGCAGCCCTGTTTCAAAAAAACAAAACAATAAAAATTTTAAACAACTTTAAGTCATATAGCTTCAAAGATACGTTTCTTTTTGGGTCTAAATCTAACAATAAAAATAAACTAATAATTTTAAATAGCTTTAATTCATAAATCTCAAGTCTGTATAAATTACCTCTTCCTCTTTCTAAGTCCATGCACACAAAGGTCCTGGAAATCCTTTTTCCTGTGTACCAGCTCTGTCCTGGCTGCCATGATGTCCAGAATCATTCAAAACATTTCTCTCTCGTGGTCATTTCGACTTTGGGGAAGAGCCAGCCTGGTAAGTAAGGAGGATGAGGACGCAATGTCCACCCTGCGTTGTGAGGGAGACGTGTGTCTGGGGGGAGGGTTTGGGGCGGTCCATGGTGTCTTTTACTGTAATAAACTTTTAAACACACTCCCCTCACTTGTGGTCACCCCTGTATGAGGCCTGGCTAGTCTGGGGGTCCCCACAGCCCACAGCCCGGGCAGCCCCTCTGCAGGCCTCCCTGGGTCTGGCATGGCCAGCGCTGTCCCTCACCAGACCCTGTCCCCACAATGCCCCAGGAAGCCCCACGGGTGTCGTGACATCAGAAGAGCATAACTCGGCCCCCACACTGTGTCCCCTCCTCCTGGGACCCTGCGTGTCCCTGGACCCCCTACTCCCCAGGCGCGGGTGCATGGGCTCATCCTCCTGAGAGCGGCACCGCCTCGTTCCCAGCGGCAAACCTGGGCACCTGGAGGTGGACCACAGCGCTGTGCGGACTGGGGCGCGGGGAGCACGGGGCGGAAGGCAGTGGCCCCGGGACAAAGGGCCCCGCGGAAGGCGCTTCAGGGCTGGGCCAAGCGCTGCAGAGCTGCAGGGGCCCGAGTCGCCAGGCGAAAGCAGAAAGACTAAGGCTGCCTCACTTTCCCCAGGAGGAGGGAAGACTGAAGTCAGACTCAGTGCTCGCGTGGACGGAACCCGGACCCACGGTCTGCACCGTCCAGGCTAGAGGGGAGGCACAAATCGTAGTGGCTGCTTTCGCGCGAGTGCAGACCCAGGATTTCTGCTCTCCTTGACTGTCAACTTCGGCTGTGGGCTATGCGTTGGCCACACTGCTTTCCAACCGGCTGGAGCTGCCTGTACTTAACTTAGGCTTTTTTCGCAATTTTAACAAGCAATACTTGACTTTCTTTTTGTGTCTTCAACTATGGAACAAAATGAAGCAATTCTTACAAGTATAGTAAATTAAACAGATTTTCGTATCACTGTCACCTTACAATGAATTATGCATGTGAAAGTATACTTTATATATAAATGTTGTATGTGTATTTATAATAGTGAGTATAATTTAAATCCTTTATCACACGACAATTATAACGCCACCTGAGAAACGTCCTGGCCACAATTTGAGCACTTCCTGTAATTACAGAGGCCAAAGGTAACTGGCATTAATCCCGTGATGTCTCAATAAATTAGTATTAAAATATTTATACAAGTTTTTCTTTTCCTGGTGTATACATTTTCTGGTGGACTCTATTTTATGTATTTTTACAACATAACCAAACCCTTAAACATCACAAATTTCAATGCTGAACTAATTATAACATTAATAATGTATATTATGTTTAACTCGATATTTCCCCAAATCCAGAAACATTTACCCACATTAAAAAAGCAAAACAACAAAAGGCACACGATGGATCCTGTAGATCCAGCTGCTCAGGAGGCTGAGGCAGGAGGATCCCTGGCTCCCAGGAGTTGGAGGCCAGCATGAGCAACACAGCAAGACCTTTCTCAAAAACAACAGAGACAAAAACAGGACAGGACCAGCCGCCCGGCTTAGTCTCAGCGTGCAGCGGATGCCTGGCTCCGAGTGGGATTCCGAAAACCCTGGGTCTCGCCGCGCACCGGAACCGCCCTGCTCCCGGCCTTGCTCCGCGTTTCCCCTGCGTCTCTGGCCTTCCTCGGGGCCCAGGATCGACTGTGGGACCCGGGGT